TGCCACAATAAAGACTACCAAGAACAAGTGTCTGTGCTCCATAAAGATGATCCGAAAGCAAGAAGAGAGAAGGCCACAGAGACCTAACCAGAGTGGGCTACGTGTGGGACCAGACACTAGTCCTTCGCTAGTTGAGAGATTTCCATTAGGGTCACCCTCACAGAGGAGGATGTGGTTGGTGTCATCACTTCCTGTGTCCTTTACAAGGCATTGCTGCTTCATTTCCGCAGTCAACAAAGATTCACTGCGTGCCTGAGTCCACCCAGTGCATACGTGGTTTTTACCAGTTTGATTTCTCATCTTCAATAAATGCTTTTATTAATCTGTACAAATCCTGATTTAAGTACCCTGCAATATAGTTTATCACTTCAATATGCTGAGTAGTGGTTAAAAGTGAAGGTGAGAGCCCTTAACTAAGAAAAACTTGGTAAATTAACCTCTCATTCTTGTGTCTTTTATTCCCTCTCCTCCTGCCTGTTTGCTCTCTCTCTCACTCCCTTTCTTCCCTTTCCTTTGCTTTCTTTTGATTTCTAATCTTTGCGTGCTCCTCATGCTCCCAGCACATTTCCTAAGGCCTTAGAGCTAACAAGACAATGGTATCAATATTAAAACAAATGGGAGGGATTCAACATTTTTTTCTGACTCAGTAGTTCAACTTCACGTTTTCTTCCCTTCCACAGTTTAGGTTTCCCTAAGTCTAGAGATCACAGCTCTAATATGCGTGTCATATACACATTTTTCATAAATGCAAGGGAAGTTAGAAAAGTATAAATAGAAAGTTACCTTCTAATACAAATCAACCATTCTTATTTTCTGGCAGAAAGAGAATAGTATTTATTCACCACTCTTGCATGAAAAGGTGCATAATTCAAACTACTGCAAGCCACTTAGGGGTAGAGATTTTAAACAATAGGTGCTTAGTACTTAGAACAACTTGTTCTTGTTAAAAACTCATGATTCCTTTTCTGACTCTTTTGATTCCAGACTACTGGAGTACAATAGGGAACCACAGTAACTTCCTATTTCAGAGCACCCTCTGGGAGGATGTGGCTGAAGCAGGCAGCTTCTATTGCACTGTTTGTCCAACCATCTGGTAGACAAAAGATAGTTTATGTCTGTCTTCAAGAGCGTGTCAGCAATGGATGACTGAAGTGAATACAGGGAAACTTACTAAGCGCGGAGCTTGGGAAGGTGACAGGCAATCGAAGTTAGAGGTAAGTCTTAATACAGAATGGATTTGTGTTCACATCATGATTTTCTTTTTTTTTTTAATTTGAGGAAATGCAGAGTTTCTTAATGAGTCTTAGCCTATTAAACTTTAAGTATGTATAACTTCCTCCTTTGCCTTTGAATAAAAGCCTACTGAATTAATTCATATTGACCTCGGCTTCAATTAGAATGTCAAAAATAGGATGAAAAAATTCTAAAGATAGATATTTTATTCCTCAGTGTTACCTGAGGCTTAGTCGACGATATAACACCCACACTGCCAGAGTTTCAGGTTGTGACATCTGTGATGGTAGGTCATTGGTGGACAGTGTTTTCCTTTGCATGAAGGAGAGTTGATACCACTTCAAGGACAACATAGAGGAAGCGAGACCACATAGGACGACCGTACGTTTAAATGTAGTTTCGTGGAAAAAACAGAGATGTGTGCAGGAGGGTGCTGAGGCTCTGTGTTTCTATTTTTATTTCTTCCGGTTTCAGTGGTTTTACTCTTCCCTGAATCTATGAGGACAGAGCCTCAGAATGTAAATCAAGTTAAAAAAAAGTTGCAAAAAAATATCTATTCGACGACTGCAATAAGATATATAGCCCCAGCTAGGTGCTACTTTATAGGATGCCTAAGTTAGACTTGTGTTCATGGAAATGTATACATCATCTGTGTTTGCTATGAAAATATTTAGATTAATTAAGATCCTTAGTAATTCAATAAAATGTGGGGGGAAAACATTATAGAAAGCAAACATAGATACCAGAGACAATGTGGGAGGAGAGTGGGAGATGGCAGAAGGTAAGAGATAGGGAATCAAGGATGGGGGGAAAAAGCAAAACATACAGGAAACCAGAAACGGAAGATTATTTGTTGACAGTAACATGCATGTTGATGTGCTTGATTGAGACAATATACAGTGTATTCTGGATGGAAAATCTCATTTCGTATGTTGTAATGTACAGTGAATGAATGCAAATAAATAAATTTAAAAAAAAAAAGAAAAGAAAAACTATCGAGGCTCCTTGCCCTCCTTTCATTGTGACTCCCATGTCAGAACAAAAGAATAAAATAATCACCATTGCCAAACATCACCTAAAAGTTTATATCTACATTATTTACAAGTCTTCTATCTCTACCTGTCATCTTTCTACGTCTATTTATCTATCTGATATGTATGTTTTTGTATCTATACCTGCACATACATCTCTCTATGTAAAGCAATAATGCAGGGGTTATACAAAATGATAAAATGTATTTCTCTAATGGTAAGCCATACAAAAAGTAAATCCATGGTCTAGTGAAATGTAATTTACATCAAGTATATTCTACATATATTTGACTTGCAGTAATTGCCTTAGTCTATGTGTATTTTTTATTATACATAAACCACCAATAACAACCAAACAGAAAAGAATGAGATATCGAGATCATATAAGTACACTGTTCATTGTAATAGATAAGGTATTTCAAGCTTTAACTTAGCTGGAAACTAAAATTAGTGAGATAAATCACAGAGCATTCCAGTCATTGGTATCTATTTTATTATGTAAATACACATTGGTCATCAAGGAGTCTCTGTTAATGTTTTAAGAATATCTCAATGCATTCTAATTTTTGTGGTGGTTGTTGGATGGATATGAAATTATTCCTGAAGTTGTGCCTCAATCTAAATCTGAGCTCTCCCTTTAGAGAAAAGTTTCCCTTATGCAGCCATGAAAACAACAGTCTTTTATTTTCTGGAGTTACAGGCCAAATGATTGACAAAACCCAAAGTTACCCTCAAGATGTTTTTATCCCCTTATTATTTGTATTAATGTCTCACTTTATTTTTGCCTAGAAATGTCATACTTTGTCTTACTCAAACATTGCATAATTTCAGCTTTTTCAAGCAAATATAAATATGTATACATGTGTGTTTAGGTTTAACTACAATCAGTTTGCACTGTAAGCATGGTTTCTGATTATTTCTAGGCACAGGAATGAACAAGATGCATCTTTTGGGATCGTGACTCAGGCATAGGAAGAAAGTCGCTGCTGTCAGTGGAGGAAGCAGATGCAGGAGAAGCTCGTGTTCTCTCTCTGTTCCTTGAAATTCATAAACCAGTCTTTGCTTTTCTTAACCCTCAAATCCATATTCTGTTTAGGGATTTCTCATGCAAATCACTAATTCATAAAGGTAATGACTACTTAAATACAGATTGCTAAGAGAGTTCATTTAAAATATTAGGTACGGTTGCCTTTGGTGACCAAAAACATTATGACTTCTATTCCTTGCAGAAAATATCCTTACCTGTTCATTCTCATTGATCAAATTCCACTGGTCTAGGCTTGAAACCCTGGAAGCAAATATTGCTATAAAAATACTTACAAATTTCAGTTTGCTTGCAATGGAAATTTTTTTTCATTTTTTAAAAAAATATATTTAATTACTGTATATCTTTACAGAGTACAACATGGTTTTTCTCAGGATGAATACAGTGTATATTAGTTAAGTCAAAGACATTACCATGAACATCATCAGTAGACAATTTTTCTTTCTTATCTATTAAATGTGTTACTCATTCTTTCCCCTGATTCCCTCCATCCCACACCCCATTGCCCATCCCCTATTTACTCCTCACACTGCCTTTAGAATCTACAGTTGTCCTCCCTGCTATTTTACCATCCAATCTTTCAGTTTCTGACCCAGAGTGTAGATATGTGGTATATATTGAATGAGGACATACAATGCTTGTCTTTCATAGTCTGACTTGCTTTGCTTAGATTAAATGTTCTATATTCATCCACTTTGTATCAAATGTCAGAGGCAACAGAAATATTTTGCGTTAAACCATTTAGTGTTGTTCATGTAAGTCAAAGCTAAAGTGTGGAAGAAAATAGCTATTCTGGATATCTACCCATGAAGGTCATAACTGGTAATTCTCTCACTTGAAATTGATTGGGGACATATTGTTTCAAGCTGATGGTGCTAGATCAATGTTTACTAGGTGTCTCAGGCCTTTTTTTCTGCCTTATTATTATTATTATTATTATTATTATTATTATTATTATTTTAGTTTCTGACTTCCTCCAATGTCAGTCAGCTATAACTGCTTGTAGCATGCTTTATTTGAAGGATAAGATTATACATTTTAAAACATAAAGGAAGAGATATGAAGATAACTGCCAAAGCTGAGGTTTCTGCTGTTGTTGATCAAATACCTGTTATCATTTAATTTATTAATCTGGCAAGTCATTCCAATGCTATTAATTGACCATTTAGCTTTAGGATAAATACAAAAACAAAGTATTTATACTTAACTCCTTCTACCATATACTCTCTCCAAATAGTTTCTGAGGCAAGGCTTCGGCTAAAACTTAAAATGTGTGGGGTAAGATTTAAAGAGCATTTTATGAGCAAGTCTGAAGTTAGTCTCCTGAACTATATTTAATTCTCTATTAAGGAAAAAAAAGGATTCTAAAAACGAAATCTCTGTAAAACACAGCATGAAAAAGATCTCAGCATTCAGTTCTAGATTCTGAAGAATGTGCTTGTACAGTGTCTAAGTCAAGTTGGGTCTACAGCTCTCAGAGTAGATTGTGGAATAATTTTTTGCCATGAATGTATGAAATTATAGCTTTAATAAAGCCACTGTAAATATCAGAGCTCCCGCTTGGGCTAGTGACAGCTGATATGTGGAGATGAAGGAAAAGTAAGCAATGCACATGCCAAGCAATTTGCAGGACTCCTGGCCTCCCTGGAGGAAGCTAATGTGGTGCTGCTGTGCTAGAGTAAGTCACTTGCCTTGCAAACTGTAGATTTCTCCCACGCTGTTCTGACGAGTGATGTGGTGCCAGTACGCACTGCGAGGAAGAGATATCGATTTGGATAATGTCATTGGTTCAGTCAAGCTTGTCTGAAGCTAAAAGATAAAAAAAAAAGGCATCTTAGACTTTAGTTAAAATATTAAACTAAAATCTGCTCTTTCAAACATTGAGGGATAAAAATGGGTGACCTAGAACAGAGTCTGTTATTCATACCTGCATCATCCTCTACTTAAGGATAACTTTTTAGATGGTAGAATAATTACTCAAAAATATGACACGAATACTTGTAAACAATTGAATTGAGCTCATTAATTAAGAACAGAACATTAAGATGGTTGAACAAATTCCAAGGAGAATTCCAATGACTTATAACCATCGTCCAGGGCAATGACCGATGCATTCCACCAGACAAATGCATTTGTGTTTGCATGGGTAAGAGTTATTTGCATTACTTGCTGTAATATGATTTACAGAATCATAAAATAACTCGAAACATGAAGGTACAAGGTCCTTGAGAAACAGATGCCCCAGAAAGGTGCCAAACACAGGATACCCACTAATCTTGTCCCTTTCAGTTTCTTAAGATTTTTTCCTGGACATCTCCTCCCACCATACACAATGGCTATTTTCTCACATAGATCTTTTTCATGCGACTGTGATGAGACTCTTTCCATATGTTATATTTTGAGAAAAGGTGATACAGGTGTTTCATTTTTTCTTATTTGAAATGTACATTGAAAGGTTAGCTGGGAAGAACCACACACTGTCCCATCACTGTTCAGGCAAAGGCGATCATACTTTGAATTGCACTTTCAGAAAAGAAAGCTATTTTTATTGATACACAAGAGGCTCTAGAAAACAGAGACATAGTTTTATTTATTTGGTTTTAGTAAATATTTCTCTGGCACAACCAGAGCCAATATCCCCTTTTGATAGACAACGGACAATAGCCTAATAAAAATTTTACATTTCCCCCTTATCTAATGTCTGTCTCTTGGAAAAACTTGGAGTTGCAAAGAACTCTTCCAAATCTAGCTGCAGAGTGCCTTCCTGCTCACTGCACTGTGCACTTTGCCTCTGTGCCCGCATGTCTTGTCTCTGACACTGATACATCATTTACAAATCTGCACCAGCACTGGACTCAGCTCTTACCACCCTACACGTAAGATGCTACTAGGAAAGAACCCTGGATGCTATCATGGAAACTTTAGATCCACTTGAAACTAAGAGGTCTTTACATTTTCATGGGCAGTGTAGTCAAAGAGATTGAACATATTTATTTGATTTTAGTTTCTTGGCAGTGAGGCACTTCCAGAAGTGCTACGTCTTATCACAAAAGTTCTATGTTGAGGTGATTTTTCTAAGAAGACGGCTCCAAAGACTAAAACGAAACCCAATTTTTATAATTTTTGAAATCAGTATACTTTGGAGTTTTCACCTTACTACAATAGGTGCATTATCCACATCCACACCCCATGGTTGACGTACAAAGAAGACAAATATGTGGGTTATAACAGAGCAGGGCTTTCAGATGCTTTGGGATGCTCGCTAAAATGCAAGTTCCTGGTTTTAACCCATGTGTAAGAGGTGGAGAATCTGTATGTTGGTGGGATGGTGGGAGAGGGAACTATGGATGTTACAAATACACTAAATATCTTTTTGCGGACTGAAGTCCATCACCTCATACTGTAAAGGAATAGAGGCCAGGCTCATTTCGTGACAGTGTTATTGGGAGAAAAGAGCTTTGGCCTTTAAAGCCAATTCTCCATATGGTGTGTAAACTTAATTAAACATATAAATCTTTAATTTGTATCAGCAATGCTCATTAATAAGATCAATTAAGCCATAAAGGGAATCTCATATTAATCAAGCCAAGTCTACAGTCTACTCTTTATTCTTTTTCTAATGTATTATAATTTGTTTGTTATTTACTATACAATAGATCATCGGTGGTAAATTAATCCTTCCAACATTTGATTAAGGTATTTTCCTTCTATTCTTTTATTCTGGGAAACATTTTCCTTCCCAAATGGTCAGTGTTAAGAATCATGGAAACACAGAGAACATATTTTGTTTGCAGAAAACAAATAACCAAGAGCCACTTGAGACTAATTCTCTCAATACAATTTCCATCTGAGTCACCTGCATGTTTCTCACCCCATGTTGCTCGGGATCTCAATCTTGACTGTTTCCAAGACTAGGATGTCTTCAATGATATCCAACTTCTTTGTTTATGTCCCTGGTGCCTCTCTATTCTACTTCCATATTTAATTGCCAAAAAAGGAAAATTTATTTAAAAACTTAAGTGTGGATATTCTCAAAATCTTTGCCAGAAATATGAACTTTGTCTACTACATCTTAGAGGTATAAATGTTCTCCTAGATAATAGAGAATCCACTCACCATTCATAATTTTGAACTGAGTACCATTATGACCTAAATCGTATTTCTCTTGCCACCTCCTCCCTGAGCCCATGTGTTGGAACTTTAAGCCCCAATGTGAGTATATCACAATGTGAGTATATTTGGACATAGAGTCTATAAAAAGGTTAACTAAGATGAAATGAATCATAAAGTTGGGACCCTAATCCAATAGCACTATTGTCCTTTCAAGAAGAGAAAGGAAAACTAAGGATAAACATGCATGAGAAAAGCCGTGAGAAAGCACAATAAGAGGATGGCCATTTGCAGACCAAGATGAAAGACCTCAGAGAAACCAACCCTGGTGCCATCTTGATTTTGGACTTCCAGCCTTGAGAACTGTGAGGAATATATTTCAATTGTTCAAGCCACTCAATCTCTGGTATTTTTGTTATGGCAGTCCCAGATGACTAACACACGTCCTCTGTCCTATAAACAATTTGATAGATGATATAGATTATATCTAATTTATGCGAAATTTTTATTGTATTATGAACTTTAAGCCATGCATTAAAAATTGGCCATTTGGATATGCACAGTGACTGAGATAATGTGACAATATTGCAAATATTTTTATTAGAGAATTTGGTTGGTTCTAATTGTAAACCCTTGATAAAACTTCTCTTTAATGAGCACATTCAGTAAGAGGGCATACAAAAATCATCCTTAACTATTTTCATATTCTAATAATGCCATAATTAATAGCATTAAGATAAAACTCAAACCTTACAATGCTGTAGGAATTTCTTTATTGAAAGAACAATACATCAATTTGACCAGAATGATTTTCAGGGTCATAAAAGCTTATCTACCTAAAATTATACAGGACAACTTGTATTTCTATTGTAAACAAATCTATATTTACATATATAAAAGAGAAAACTGTTATGAGACCATTTCTAAGGAACTGTATAAAAGAAGTTGAACAAAATAGATGAATACATGTCTTCAGAGTTCTTTTGTTCCTTCTCTGAGAGGATAGGCTAGATTGATTCTTTTGGTGGCCTTAGTCTGTAAAAAGTTCCTAAAGAAACTTCAAAATTCGGCAAAACTTTGTGCTAGAACCCCCTCAGAATTTAACCATAGACTTGCTGGCATCCAACACGCATCTGCTTCTCCTTGTGCAACAGGTTAGGATTTGGAGAGGCTGTTTCAGCATAGATGCAGAGGTCAACTAGCTATAAGAGCAGTGAATTCAGTCCTGGCCACCGCTGTCACCATTGCCTGGCACTTTAGCTCTCTGGGTTCCATTCTAACAGCTGACAGTTTGCTGAGATACAGACAGTGAATCAGAGGTTGTTTATTTAACATTTGCAAAGACTAGAGATCACAGCTCAACTGACTCCAGAGAGTAAAGACATTTGTATTCTATTTTAGAGCTGCAACCATCACATCTCACAAAGCCCACAGCCTAAGAGAATGATTTGTGCTGAAGTGTGCCATGTGGAGATTAAGTTAATACTCTACTTGAGTATCACACAGATAATTGCTATTCTGTCCTTGGGTTGATAAGAAAGGAACCCCAAAAGAAAAGAACTTATATTTAGAGAACTCTCATAAAGACACAAACAAGGCTAGACTGCTCTGCCCTTTCACATCTAGACAGTAAATAAATAATTATTTATTTATAAACACCTGAGTTTTGTACATGACATCTCAGCACCACTTCCTACTGCAACCCTCATCCCTCCTCTCCCCTGAACATCAGGAAGCTCTTTTGAACACACTTAATTGAAAGGCAGGTATCAGGAAACATTCCTTCTGGGTCACTCATGATTTTGGACTTCTCGTGACAACTTGTGTTCTTTTCACTGGAGTCTGTATAGCCAACAACCTTAGAAGATGAGCATCTTCCTCCAGGAAAAAAGGGCAGAATTGTTTCCTGGCCAGGATCACAGGTAACGTCTTCCTCTAAGGCAAGGGTTGGGCAGGTTTGCCAACAGCCACCTTACAGGATTGAGAGTCCTCTAAAGGCAAGATTCTCAGCTATGGCCTTACTTAGCATCCTGGGAACTTTGGGAACAGTGAAGCTGGTAGAACGTGAGATTGTAATGTGTGCTGTACCATTCATAACAAAGTCCTTTGTCTCTGACCCAGGTGTCCTGTTTCCTTCCAGCAACCATGTGTGGCAGGCAAGAAGGGGTGGAGGTGGTCACATCTTCCTCCTTTTGCCTATCTCTGCAATGTCTTCTCTCTCTGCAGCTGGAGTCTGCATTATCTTATTACATTTCCTCTACTGAACTGTCTAGCACAGGCTCTGTCCACTTCAGTGGACTCTGACAAACGTAAAGAACTATCTTGCTATGTCCCAAATGTTTCAATATGTACACACTCAGAGGCTTTTCAATTATCTCTGCTCTTTTGATATTAAAATGAACAAGTCCCATTACTAAAGAATTTTGGGAAAAAATTTTAAAAATATTTCTGTTAACATTCCACCTAGGGACCTTTAGGACCATAGTTTTCCAAAGAACCATTAATTCTCCTAGGTCATCAGTACTTATATTTTAATTTTAAAAACCATCAAATTCAGAGTTTAAAAAATAATTGTATCTCTTTTCATATCCTCAATTTATATATTTGAGTTTTACTTTCAATATATTTTTCTATATGTTTTATCTTTTAGAGAGACTGGGTAGTTTTTACTTATGTAAAGAATTCATATTTCTCAGTTT